ACTAATATCCAATCTTCCCCACTAGAACTCAAGCTCCTTGGTGGCAGGGGTCTTGGTCTACTATTGTTCACTTCTGTACCCTGAAGGGAAGCAGAATTTACCACCCCAAAATATGCCTTTTTGGCCTAAGGATTATTTTAGGCTGATTATTTTTAAGAAATAGCTGACTAGGCAGAAGCTCTGAAAACTGAGTGAAAGTTACCCCTTCATAAGGGATATTCACATTTTTAAGGGAAATCTCCATTTGTAAGGCTGTCTCCCTCTCTGTACCAGGAAAAGGAGGAGGGCCAAATCTCTTGAAACCCTTTATCAGTGGACGAGGACTTAAATCCGCATAACAGCCTTACCCTTGTTTCCTGGGCTTTTCCTAAAAGCCTCCCCAAACTGGCCTTTCCCTACCCCCAGCATCCTCTTTGCCTTTAGCTGGTGATGGCTTGGGTTATTTTGGGGAGTTATCCAGTTACAGGAGTATACATGCTATTAAACTTCTGTTTCTTTTTCTCCTATTAATTTTTTATTATATGGGATTCTCAACTAGAAGGGTAGAGAAAAAATTATTTCTCCTCTGCTCAAGCCCCCTTTCCTAGAATAGTACCTGGTGCAAAGGAGGCACTCAGTAAGTATTTGTTGGTTATGTCAATAGAAGTACCATGGTGGGAGGGTATAGCTCAGTGGTAGAGTGTGTCCTTAGCACACATGAGGTCCTGAGTTCAGTCCTCAGTACCCCCTAGTACCTTGAAAAAAAAGAAAAAAAGTTAAATTAAAATAAATAAACCTAATTACCTCCCCCCCAAAAAACCCCAGCAAACAAACAAAAAAGAAGTACCACAAATCTTTCCATAACAGTCTATATACAGACAATTTATACTAAATATAGATTGTTAAAACTGAAATTTTACCTATAAAACTCCCAAACAAACATAGAAAAACAATAAAACACTAAGAAAGAAAGAAAGGAAGAAAGAAAGAAAAGAAAGAAAGAAGGAAAAGAAAGGAAAGGAAAGGAAAGGAAAGGAAAGGAAAGGAAAGAGAAACAACTGAAAAAAGCAAAAGCAAAACTGAACTTGTAAAAGTTTTATCACAGGACTGCCATTTCCTACAGTATTGTAGAATAGACGCTGAACTCCTGTGGAAATATAACTAAAGTATTAGGTAAATGTAACAACACTATTTAAAATACACTACAGGGCAGGCAAGAAAGTAAAGAGTTATGAGAGGCCAAGTGAAAGCTGGAACCCAGAAATGATAAGCAGAGCGCACAACCTGATTTTCACACTCTGAGGATTTTGTACAAACCAGTACAAACTAAGTTTCAACTTTTTCAACCTCTTGTGAAGAAGGTGTAGGGGAGCAGAATTTGCCACCCTAAAAGATGTCTCTGGCATATTAATTATTTTAAGCTGGTTATTTTCTAAGAAACCGAAGACGGGGGAAAAATTCTGAAAACCAAAGAGGAGCTACCCTTTTAAAAAAAATTTACATTTGTAACAGAAATCTCTTTTGTAAAGGTGTCTCCCTCATGCCATACCTAGAAGAGGAGGATGACCAAATCTCTAGAAACTCTTATCAGCGGAGAAGGCTTGGACTTAAACCAGTAGCATAATCAGCCTTGTTTACTCTGCTTTTCCTGGTAACCTCTCCCCCGACCTCAACATCCTCTTTTGTATTTAGCTGAGGACGGTATAAAAGGTGAAGGTTTCAGTCATTATGACAAGTTACTCAGTTTTTCTGGGTCTCTCCCATGTTTTCATGTTATTAACCTTTTGTTTGATTTTATTCTGTTAATCTGTCTCAGTTAATTTAATTCCTAGACCAGTCAGAAGAATTTAAAAGAGGAGAGGGAAAATTTCTTCCTGCCTACAACGAGAAAGGGGAGAAAATCCTAAGGCTTACTCGAGATGGAAAATTTAGCAGAAGATCTGTTGCACAAAGCTGGAATTCTCAAAGAGCTAAGCTAAAAGGTAAATTAGGAACATCCCTCCACTAATAACCCTAAGCTAAGGATAGGAAAGGCAACTGCCTCCTTAAGCCTGGGAGTAAGTTAGTGAAAAAAAAAATCTGAGACTTTATAACCACAAGTTGTCACATATAGGAGTTTGCAGCTAAAGCTACTTGTGTGGTCTGAAAAGCTGCCAGTCTGAGAAAGTGGCTGAAGTATTTCCAAGTTGATAGCAGCCTTAGAAACCAGGGAAAAGCAACTACTAATCCTTTCTGGAGAAAGATCCTTTAAAACCAGCCTTCCCACACAGAATGTTCCTCAGTTGGTGAGCACATGGTAAAAAAAAATTAAAACTAACATTAAAATTTTAAAAATCATGAATAAATAAATCACGAAATACATAAGAAATCAATTTACCATGAATAACAGCCAGCAAGGTATGTGAGAGGGGAGGGAGGACTGGAGGGAAGAAGCAGACAGAATCAGACCTACAAAGAATTCAGACACTAGAATTATTAAGCATAAAATATAAGTATGTTTAATACATTTAAGAAAACAAGAAACTAAGAAAAGAAAATATTGAGAAAGGAGCACATAGAATTCAAAAAGAACTAAATGAACTTTGGAAGAAAAAATACTATTTTATTTTATTTTTTATTGAACTGTAATTGATTTACAATGTTAGTTTCAGGTGTATGCAAAGTGACTCAGTTAAAATACTTACTACTAAAACAGAGCAGGATCCTTCAGGTCCCTCTCTGGTACAAAAGCCCCTCTTTGTCCTCCATTCCTTGTTTATTGAAAAAGGGTTTAGTCTCATAGGCCTTCCCTGAGTTCCAAAGAGCAGACTCAAGCAGTTACTAATTAGGGAAGTGAGGGAATGCAGAAACAAAGGAAAAGCAGTCAAGCAGAAAACCAATGATAGCTTAAACAACAGCTCAGCAGAAAACAGAGTCCTAGTTCCTCCTCAAGAAATATACGTAACAATCTGACACAAATCTTTTGAGTTGGTCTGTAGAAACTAAGGCCCCCACTCAAGTGGAGGACGGTAACTACATGCTGACCACAAGCATATAGACCCCAGCTGGCTGGAAGCAGAAGGTTGGTGATTAAGATTCCCAAAACATCACCTTGTTACTCCACCACCAACCGATTAGAAGAAAGTCCATGAGCTGCAACCCTCACCCAAATTGTTGCCTTTAAAAACCCTTTCCTGAAAGCCACTGGAGAGTTGGGGTCTTCTGAGCATAAGCTGCACATTCTCCTTGCATGGCACCCTGCAAAACGCTGTACTTTCCTTTACCACAACCCAGC